TCGACTCTCGATTCAACGATTCGCTCGGGATCAAAAATTTCGATTTAACGATTTTAAAAGGTGTCCCAAATTGCTTGCATAGCTGCTAATAATTGCGTTTGGCTGGGCAGCAGAAAGCGAAAGCGAAAGACGAGGCAGAAAACCAAATTTCAATAGTTTTGAATTTCAAAGTATCGAGAGAGTCGACTGTACGCTGAGGAAAACTTACGGTGTCTTTGAATTCAAAAAAAAAACATTCAAGCCTTGATCTAAATGTGAGAAAACGTTGGAAAATTCAAAAACTTACCTTAAATTCTTCGTTTCACGTAAAAGAACTCGGTTCTTTTGTGTGAAAATCAAAATCCACAAAAAAAATTGCATAAAAATCTCAAAAAGGAAGTTTGCTTTTGGAATTTCTTGACTTCAAATTGTTCTTGACTTGAAAAGTGCTTTCAAGTGGACGATTGAAAAGGCGATTAAAGGAAATGCGCAAAAAATGCAGTCGTTGCCGACTTATGAAGAAAAATGGGAATGGAAAAGGTTGGATTTCTGGGGTGAATTTGAATTCTGGGTGAATTTCTGATGAGCAAGGCTTTTCATACGGAACTTTAGAAGATAATTGAGAAGGTAAAAAGAAAACCAAAGCAAAAAAGGTTGGGTTTCTGAGTGAATTTGAATTCTGGTAGAATTTCTGGTTGAATTTCTGAATTTCTTTATGAGCAAGGCTTTTCATACGGAACTTTAGAAGATAAATGAGAAGGTAAAAAGAAAACCAAAGCAAAATCTCCCATTATCCCCATTTCTTTACACAAAGGGGTGTGAATTTTTGCAATTCAACAATCCACATCTTTTCCTTTCTTTTTTTTTGTTGGCCGATTTTGGTTTTCTTGAGGGATTTCCCTGGGGAAATTGCTCTATTGAACCCTCAACACAAAAACGGGTCAAAAATGGCTCTCGTTTTAGAATGGGAACATTTTTGGAAGAGAATTGAGTGTGTGTCGTTAAAAATTGAGGAAAAGAGACTAAACAATTTTTGAAGAGGATTTTGAAAGGATGAATTTAGTGATTTGAAACGAGAAAGGTTTGAGAAACTAGTGGAAATCTAAAGTTGGAAAAAAATTGGAAAACTGTATTGCTTGTGCGAGGTGGGGTGAGCTTTGACTTACAGTACTTCTAACGAAGTACAAAGCTTTCACTTGAACTTACAGTACTTCTAACAAAGTACAAAACTTAGTACTTTGTTAGAAGGTAGTGTAAGTTCAAGTCAAGTACCTTCTAACAAAGTACCAAGTTTTGTACTTTGTTAGAAGGTACTGTAAGCTCAAGTCAAAGCCTCCTAACAAAGTAAAAAACTTGGTACTTTGTTAGAAGGTACTATAAGTTCAAGTCAAGTACCTTCTAACAAAGTACAAAACTTTGTACTTTGTTAGAAGGCTTTGACTTGAGCTTACAGTACCTTCTAACAAAGTACCAAGTTTTGTACTTTGTTAGAAGGTACTGTAAACTCAAGTCAAAGCTCACCCCACCTCATTTTCATCATTTCCTTTCTGAAAGAGAGAAATCATAAAAGAAAGTGCGCGAGAAAAGGTGAGTTCAGCTTTTTGAGTACAAAAAGAACACTTTCTGAGTTGTTGGATTATTCGAAAATGATCGAAAATGGATTTAAGGTAAAACCAGAGTAACAAGCAATACAGTTTTCCAATTTTTTTAACATCTTTCAATGGTATAAAGTTTAAAGGCTAAAAAAAACTCTTTACAGTCAAAAAGAGTCTGTTTATTTTATTCAAAACACTTCAAAAATCATGAAAAGGATTACAAAAAGGATTTCGCCAAGTGAATGAATCGGCAAAGTGAATGAAAAAGGGAAAGAGACTCTCAAAATTGACCAATTGACCATAAAAAAAATGAAAAAGTGTCAACTATTAAAGAGTGGAGGTCAAATCGGAAATTTGAAATCGGATTTTGAAATTTGGTTTCCAAGTAAAGGAAATCTTTCCTTTCCAGATTGGTTTCCAAGTAAAGGACAACTTTTAGAACATTCGAAAATCAAAGGTTTATCTGAAAATAAACCTTTCCTTGGATTTTCTAGCTTTAAAATTTTCTAATAGATAAAGATCTTATAGTATTTCTCATTTATATTAGGTTGGCCGAAAAGGAATCACAAGCATAGAGAAAAGGAATCACAAGCATACATAGGATGCTGCCAGAACGTTGGCTTTTTGGTGTGTCGTGAAACAAGGGAATGCTTCGCTTTTATCTTGTGACTTGAATGGTTTTTCACAACTCACAACTGTCAATTGAGCATTTTCGTTGTCACTTTTTCATGCACATCAATTCAGTATTCATTATTTATTGCAACACCCTGCACCTGCGATGATTGGGAATGGGCAGGCGGAGAGCGTGAAGAACGGTTGGTGTCTCTTTAAGAGCACCACCGTTGATGACCGCGCCCCAGATCCGAAAGGAGAATGGGGTATCCGACTGCCTCTCTGAGCGGGCACAAAAAATCAAAATCAACAACTAACTATTGGGTTGTTCGAAAAGTCCTTTCGGATTTTTTGGGAGAGTACCTTAAATTTGTCGAATTTTGACGTTTTATAGCTCATCCTAAAGCTGAATTCAAGACGGATCGATTGGTAAAAACCGTTTTGAGATTTCTCTTTTCTAAAAGTTTTTACAGCTATTTTAGTAAAGGGCGGAAGAGCCAAAAAATGGCTGTTTTCACGTTTCGCTAGTTTTCCGTGCAGAAACCTAGGCTAAAAACATGTGTTTCGTGATCAGCATCAAAAATAACCCCAAGACACAAATTTTCAGAATCTTAACAATAGACACCAGCGACATTCAACCGAAAACTCAATGCCGCACAGGCTCATCGAGAGGTTACTGACGTTTATGAACCCGATTTCGTTTATGGACCCAAAACAGGTGTCGCTGGTGCTCCTCCGATTCAACTTGACACGACATTTCTGAAAAAAGCCTTCTAACAACATCAAAAAAATGATAAAACAAAAAAAACGAGAAAAACGAAGGAAAATCGCGAAAAGCGGCGGAAAGGCTATTGACCTGAGGGTCGCTGGTTCGACTTCCACCGGTGACAATATTTTTCAAAAATTTTTTGCTAAGATTCTGAAAATGCGTGTCTAGGGGTTATTTTTGACGCTGATCACGAAACACATGTTTTTAGCCTAGGTTTCTGCACGGAAAACTAACGAAACGTGAAAACAGCCATTTTTTGGCTCTATCGCCCTTTACTAAAATAGCTGTAAAAACTTTTAGAAAAGAGAAATCTCAAAACAGTTTTTACCAATCGATCCGTCTTCAATTCAGCTTTAGGATGAGCTATGAAACGTCAAAATTCGACAAATTTAAGGTACTCTCCCAAAAAACCCAATAGTTAGTTGTTGATTTTGATTTTTTGTGCCCGCTCAGAGAGGCAGTCGGATACCCCATTCTCCTTTCGGATGTGGGGCGCGGTCATCAACGGTGGTGCTCTAAAAGAGACACCAACCGTTCTTCACGCTCTCCGCCTGCCCATTCCCAATCATCGCAGGTGCAGGGTGTTGCAATAAAGTGGGTAAAGCGAAATACAAACTACAGAAATGATCCTGTGAAGTATGATTTCGGGGATAAGGGGAAAAGGGTGACCTATCTATCGGGCCCATGTGTCAGAAAGCGAGCGATTACGCGCGCGCACAGAAAACGGCTGCTTGACTGGGGAAACATCAACCCAATAAATGCTCAATTGAACATGCTCAATTAAAAAAATTCACAAAACACAATAAACTTATTGAACAAAAGAAGAGAAAAATTGTAGAAAATGAAGAATAAATTCATTCTTCTATAAAAGAATTCTATTCAAATTCAATTTTAAATTTCCCAATATGTTTTTTGGTTTTCTTTTCTAAACAATTTGTTATTTTAGGTCCAAAAGAAAGAAACGATTCACCGGAATGGAAAATGAAAATTATATGGATGCGCACAGCTGTTCGAAAGAAATCCTTTTGCTCGAAATCCATATGGAGAAATGGGAAAAAGAAGGTATTTCTTTGGATTAAAGGAACGATTGATGAATGAATTGTGAAACGGGTAAAATCCAGCGAATCTTTTTAATATTTCTTTTAATTTAAGCTTTTAAAGCCTGCAAAATCAATTTAGGAACGCCAAAAACGAATAGAACATCTTTTAGAATGCTTTTAGAACAGAATTTTCCATGCTTGGCTTGTTTAGAACATCTTTTAGAAGAGAGATCGCTTGTGTTAGTGTAGAACTGGCCCGAGCTTGCACTGCACTATCAAAACTAACAACTGTAAGCCTGCAAATCAATTTAGGAACGCCAAAAAGCCCCACTGTAAAACTATCAAAGCTAAGAAACATTGCTAACAAGAGAAAGCTAACAAGACTGATTAGAATTCTATGTGACCTTCAAGATTTCACTTTGATGGCTTTAACAAGAATTTTTTACAAAAAGCAAAAGTTTTACCCTAAGCTCAGGGCTAAAAGGTTGAGTGTCTATCGCACTTACCACTAGACCACAATATATCGAAGATATGTCAATGACATATCTTCGATATGTCATTGACACACAAATAACCTAAAGATTCGGAATCACCGAAAAATCTCCAAAAAAAATAGGCTAGGTTCCATTTCGAAAAGAAACAACCGCTAGACTTGACAAAGATCTCGAAATAAAGAAAAGGATTATTATTGTTGGGTCATCAAGATGTTTTGCTTTTGTTTTTAATCAACAGTCAACGACTAAATCCACCCCAATCTCAATCCACTAAAAAGCGAATCCAAAAACCAATCGAACAATCGAATGAAAAAGTCGGTGGTTCCCTTTGAATTTCTTGAAGTCCTCGAGGGAGCGGTGAGGAAAGGAAAGGAATCGAATGGATGGAAAGGGGATGAATGATTGATTTCCATTGTCTGTTTCCTCTTCTCCCACTCACCATGTTATTTGGAAATGTCTTTGAAACAAAAATGAAAAATTTATTCTAATCATTGATCACATCATTGATCTAGGCGATTTTTTTCAATACATTTTGGCAAAAGTTGCAAATCGAGGCAATTCGAGCGGCTTTTTGTCCACATTTCTGGCAGCTCACGTGGATTTTGTGCTCTTTTTCGGCAAGTCTGAAAAATCTACAATAGAATGGAAAAGATGTCGTTTTTACAATAGAATTTTGAGCTAAGTGGAAGCTGAGGAGGCTAAAAGCTGAGGAAGCTAAAAGCTGAGGAAGCTAAAAGCTGAGGAGGCTAAAAGCTGAGGAAGCTAAAAGCTGGAAAACTCATTCTCAGTAGTAGACAAAACGTGATCAAATGATAAAGCTGATTAAACTTTGATTTCTTTTCACTCCAATTCGCTCGTTAGTCTATTTGAATATCTTTTCATGACCTTGAATCGATATCTTTTTAATGTAAAGGTTCACATTAGATTTGTAACGAAAATAGATCCAATACAATTTATAATTTCAAGTTTTTCGTGTTTTTCTCAGCACCAACTCTTCGATTTTGCCTATTTTGACTATCATTCGATGCAGAAGAAGATTACGCGTCGAATGATATACTAGACTTGCAACGAAAACATCTGTGGGTCCTTTTTTTACCGTTGGCAAAGGGTTTTTCATGCTTTTCTTATCACCAACCCTACTATTTTGACTATTTCGATTATCATTTGATGCAGAATAAAATTGCGTGTCGAATGATACCAAAATTAACTCAAAATGTAATATCCATGCAAAGTTATGAGGCAAAAGGTTAAGCCCGGCCAATATGGGTGGGGTTTTTAGCCAACAACTTTGCGTGGATATTATATTTTGAGTTAATTTTGGTATCATTCGACGCGTAATCTTCTTCTGCATCGAATGATAATCAAAATAGTCGAAATAGTAGGGTTGGTGCTAAGAAAAGCATGAAAAACCTTTTGCCAACGGTAAAAAAGGACCCACAGATGTTTTTGTTGCAAGTCTAGTTCACATGGTACTGGGGAAAAGGAGATCAAGAAAGTAGCGAGTTTTTAGTTGATTGTGTGATCAAGTGCTTGTGAAAATTGTGATACTACTAATTACTGTAAACAACCTCAGTTAGTAGCACAATTTCTACTGTAACAAACCGTTCAGCTGAGCGAACTCGATGAAACTCGTGTTTCTCATGGTGATGTCCAATCTGGTGAGCGCTCAAAGCATGTGAGATCATCGATTCAGTGATCGTTGGAAGGCGAAGAATTCTGAAATTTGAGTTTGAAAACTGAAATTCTGCCACACTTTTCACTCGAACCTTGAATCACTGAGCTGAGCTTGAAATCACTGAGCTTGAATCACTCACCTTGAATCACTGAGCGTCACAAATTGTGCGTTCATCAAAATCGCATCCTCGAGAACATCCCAGAAATTGGGATTGTTCAGTTTTCTCTCTTTTCCATCCCATTCCTCGTCAATGTAGAATTTCGTTTTTGATTTCACTCTTTCATCATCAGCCATTGCCTGAAGAATGGCAAGAGCGAATTTTAAATTTCTTGAACAGAGGAAAACTGATCATTGATCGATGATTTAAAGGTTTTCAGTAGCTTCACTTATAGTCTAATTTTACTATTGGGTTGGTGAATTGAAAACTGCCGGACTTTGAACTAAAATTTATTGAACATAAAACCATGAATTCATCCCAAATAATTTCCATTATTATTGACGACTTCTGCCCATTTTACAGGCAATTTGCGGATTCCTCTTTCGTAGTAGGATTTTGGTTTTGAATCGACAAACTTTTCGAGCCAATTTTTGACTGCTTCTTCCGAATCGAAGTGTTCTCCCGCAAGCTCATTACTCATGGTCCGGAATAAATAGTAATCAGAAGGGGCAAGGTCCGGACGTGGGGGATGTGGGGGATGTGGGGGATGTGCCAAAGGTTCCTAATCAACGCTGTTTATTTTAGAGCGAGTCAGTTTTCCAACATGAGAGCGCGCGTTGTCGTGGAGGAGAACGATCTTTGACTTGAAGGGCCTATTCTTCTTTAGGGATTCATTCACCTTTTCCAACTGTTCACTGTATTTGATTGCATTAAGGGTCGTCTTGCTATCCAGCAACTCTCAGTACACCACTCCCTCCATATCCCAAAGTGCTCAAACTGTGAGATATGACAATAGACAATACGATTTTGCTTTGTGTGTGAGACAAATGTGAAACTCAAAAATGGAGGACTGGAGATTTCTCAGTTTGAGCACTTTCTTCAAAAGAAACCCATTTTGGTGTCAATAGAAAAGTTGTAGAGAATCAAAAATGAGGCTTATAGCCAAATTTCCAGAAAGATACACTTAGTCGTTTGGCTTAAAATGCAAGTTTTGTGAAAATTTGGCATTTCTTGAAAACGAGTTTTTGAATCGTTCTGAAAATTTGGATATAAGCTTGATTTTTGATTCTCTACAACTTTTCCATTGACACCAAAATGGGTTTCTTTTTAAGAAAGTGCTTAAACTGTCACATATGACAATAGCCGGCAGTTTTCAATTCATCAACCCAATATATTTAGAGTTTAAGCTGAATATCCTCTAAATATCCACTAAATAGCTATAAATGTAGTCTATTTGAGGTTAAATCTTAAGCAAAGTTAAACCAAAAACTCATTTACTCACTCGTAAATGGTCTCCGTCTTTTGGCGGGACGATCAAAAGCGGCACTCGGAATAGGATCTCTTTTTCTTCGCGGGCTTCAATCTGGAATTCTTATTTTTCAAATTTCAAATTACTTCTTTAGTTATTTTTCAGTTTTACAGCAAAGAAAATACTGACAAATCCACAAATCGGATCCCTTTCCACATCTAGCGTCAAATCGAAATCGACGAGCACCGCGAAGGAGCCACTCTGATTTCTCAAATGCACCACTTCTGGTATCTAAATATTGCTTACTGAATTTATTCTTTCTTTTTCAAATAACTGATTATATTACCGTCATTACCGTTGAGCTTACCGTCAAATGAACGGCTTTCTCGTGCGATCGATGCTCGGTGCCGAGCAATCTCACTTGAAAACGAATATTCTCCACTTCTGCGTTCTCATTCTCGTAATCTAAAAGTGTTACTGATAAGAAATAGAAATGAAAATAGAGATTTGACTTCAAATTTCTCACCAGATTTGTTCGGTCCAACTTCGACAAGAAAAACATTTGGATGGGTGATAAAATCGCGATCGCTTTTCAAGAGGATTCCATGATCGATTTTCTCGTGGCCAACATGATGACAGATTACCTGAATAACTTCATAAATAGAGTTTTAAATATTTAAAGTTAAGTCTTCCCTTCACTCACATGCAACTTTTGTGGGCCACCGAAAGCTTGAGAGCGATTTCTCAATAGTGATGCGGCTGACATTCGTATTACTTCTAAAAAGTAAAAATGAAAAGCTCAAATGTTTTAAAAAAACAAAATGGATGAAGCTGGAGTTTAAAGATTTTAATTTTAAAATACAGGCTGCGCCAAAAGTTCCCGTACTTGTATTTTCTGCATTTTTGGTAATTTTAGATAAAAGATACGATTTTAAAAGTAAGAAATTCGAATTCCACGCGAAAAACTGATTTAGAAAACGTTTCGGGTTGATTTATAAGTGCAACACTATTTAAGACAAGTGATTGAGAAGAGGGTCCGCTCAGGGGAGCTTTGGTCGCACATTTTTTTGGGGCTTCAGGCCTGTAACTTTTATGGATCAAAAGATTTTCAAGAGCCAAGATGTTTTTCGAAAACTAGACATAAAATGTGACATTTTTTATATTGGGTGTATAAAGTTTTGGTCAACGACCGAGTCGGAAGTCAGGTTAGAACTTGGTTTTCCCATACAAATTTCCATCAAAGGAAATAACTTTAACTGGGCCCTGTAGCTGTGCCCTGTAGCTGTGCCCTGTAGCTGTGCCCTGTAGCTGTGCCCTGTAGCTGTGCCCTGTAGCTGTGCCCTGTAGCTGTGCCCTGTAGCTGTGCCCTGTAGCTGTGCCCTGTAGCTGTGCCCTGTAGCTGTGCCCTGTAACTGTGCCCTGTAGCTGTGCCCTGTAGCTGTGCCCTGTAACTGTGCCCTGTAGCTGTGCCCCGTAGCTGTACCCTGTAACTGTACCCTGTAACTGTGCCCTGTAACTGTGCCCTGTAGCTGTACCCTGTAGCTGTGCTGTAACTATGCCCTGTAACTGTACGCTGTAACTGTGCGACCAAAGCGCCCCTGAGCGGACCCTCTTCTCAATCACTTGTCTTAAATAGTGTTGCACTTATAAATTAACCAGAAACGTTTTCTAAATCAGTTTTTCGCGAGGAATTCGAATTTCTTACTTTTAAAACCGTATCTTTTATCTAAAATTACCAAAAATGCAGAAAATACAAGTACGGGAACTTTTGGCGCACCCTGTACAGGGAATATTGTGGGAATGGAAATGGAATGGAAGGGGAGTATTATGGAAACTCAAGTGATTGAGCTTAACTCAGTTCTCGATGTCTCAAATCAAATGATTCTTTTTTTGCTAGTATATTTTCTGATTACTGGCTCTAGGGAAAACATTATTAGACAAAGGTCGTAATATTGACCTGAATATATTGACCTGAAAGTGTTTAACAAATGAATTTTTTGATTGACGATTAAAAAAAGTATTCAAATGGACTAAGAAACTAAGAAAAGTTGGTAAGAAAAGCTGAAATTCCGGGCAAATAGCTGATGAAAAACTGAAATGGCCTTAGCTTTTATAGTTTCTAATCTTTGGCTGTAAAATGCATCATAGGTCTGAAAGGAAAGGGGGAAAAGAAGGCTGTTTTTTTGAGTGGAAGGTTGGAGTTTACAAAAAGACCTCAACGGGAGACCAACAAAACACTTTCTCTTTGAGTCCTTTTGGTAAAGAAGCTATTGACTTTAGCTATTGCTATTGAAGCGAACTCTGGACTCTCCCATACACTTTTCGTTCCCCTGATCGTCACAATTTAGATAAAAACAATGGAATGATTCACGTGAAGAATGACTGATAGTAAAGCTTGTCTGGAGATCTTTGATTTTCTTTTTTCCCAAGCCTAATTTCTCAAGCAATCAGCCAATTAAGCAATGAAATTATAAGTATTAGTTTTTCTGGGCAATTAGTCAATTGATTTCATTCTGTTTTGGTTTCCTTTGGTGCAAATGACTCTGTAATTTGGCTTAAATTCGGCCAGAATATCCTGGCAAAGCTTGCCGAATATCTTGCCTTGTGAAAAAGCAATCAAGTAACAAAAATTTATTATTTCCATCGAATCGAGGGAAATCTGAAAGAGATTCTTTTGGAGAAAGACGCGGAAAGTTGAAAGAAGCTATGGGAAAGCTAAGGCTTTCATTTGAAGAAAGCAAAGGCTTTCATTTGAAAATAAAAGAATTTGCATTATTTTTAAAATTTAAATGAAAGCCTTATTTCGAAAATAAAAAATTTCAATTACAAGGACGGTAGTTGCATTGACGGGAATTGTGGAGTTGGATTGTATGCGTAACAAATGAGACTTTTGATGATGAGTGGGGTCGATCCTTGCATCACATACCATCTAAAAACTTCATTATGCATTTAAAAATAAGTTTACTAACCTAAAAACCAATAATTTTCTGAATTCCTTTGTTTTCTTTTGCAATTTTAAACATAAAACCTCCCCTTTCCTCAGTCAAGCAGCCGTTCTCTGTGCGCGCACGTAATCGCTCGCTTTCTGACACATGGCCCCTATAGATAGGTCGCCCTTTTTCACTTACCATCGAAATCATACTTCACAGGATCATTTCTGTAGTTTGTATTTCGCTTTACCCACAATTTTGCAACACCCTGCACCTGCGATGATGGGGAATGGGCAGGCGGAGAGCGTGAAGAACGGTTGGTGTCTCTTTAACATCACCACTGTTGATGACCGCGCCCCACTTCCGAAAGGAGAATGGGGTATCCGACTGCCTCTCTGAGCGGGCAACGAATAAAAATTAAGAACTAGCTCTTTAAATTTGTATTTTGGTGATGTGATACAATCTGTTACCGTATTTATTCCAATAGAAGCGCATGCACTTCTATTTTTCAACCATTCCTATTTTTCTTGACGTTATCTGTGCTACCCATATATTAGATACATTATATCGTGTTGCTTTTTATCGGTCCTTTTCGCTTTTCAGCTACACTTTCTCAGCAGATTGCATGCCAAGCAATCAATTTAAAAACCCTAAGTGTTATATAGAGAATTGAAGCCTGAATTCTTGCCTACATTTCTGTACTAAAAGATCTTTGATTTGAGTTTTGCAGTCCATTTTTCAAACCCTCAAATGAGCCCAACCCGGTCAGTCTCCAGCATGCTTCTATTTTTAGCTGTTTTCTAACTAAAAAATTTTTCTAAGAAGAATCTTTGTTCCATAAATTAAAAGATAGCATTTTGAATGGTATAAAAAAGCGATGATAACACCAAAGTGTTTTGACAATGTTAACCCAACCAGAACTGGAATTAAAGATAGTCCTCTTTAGATGTACGGCGATTTTGGCGAAATTTGGGTTTTTTCTTTCCGTACGTGCTGTCCTAAAGCTGTAAATTTGATGAAAATAATTCTTAAATGAATAAAAATGTGCTTTTACTAAAGAAAAACTCTTCCTACATACAGTTCGTTAGAAAACAGCTAAAAATGGAGGCATCTTCGAGGCTGACCGGATTCGGCTTATTTGAGGCTCTGAAAAATGGACTGCAAAACCCCAATCAAAGATCTTTTTGTACAGAAATGTAGGCAAGAATTCAGGCTTCAATTCTCTAAATAACACTTAGAGTTTCTAAAATGATTCCGCATGCAATCTGCTGAAAAGGTGAAGCCGTCATTCTGGTCGACCCCGTAGATCTAGATGGATCACCCTGTAGAAAAAAATACGGTAACCAAAACCCACTGTCCATCCAATCCACAAAACACGTATCGACTCGCCGATCCGACATTCAAATCCAAAACCATTCCTCCCGACACATCAGTGAGTAATTGGACCTAAAATCGAAGCATTAGTGCGTTTCAAAATGAAAACATCCCGGAATGAACATGTTACCACAAGAGCAATAGGCTTTTGCTACTTCACAAATCGGAACGGTTCCGACGAGATCGATGGGTCTGAAGCATTTTTAAATGCAGATATCGAACTTGGATTACCTCATGTATGGAGCAAAGATTTGTGCCGAAGTGGCGGTGTGATTATAGGTGATCGGGCCACAACGGGGGCACACTGAATAGATGGTTTTGTTTACTAAAAAAGTATTAGACCGTTGAAAATACGAAAATTTGTACTGTAATCAATGTGCCTTAAGAAAAAAACCCAAAATCGCTAGTCTGACAGCTTCTTTTGCTGGAGTCTGACAGTTTGACAGCTTTGCTGGAGTCTGACAGCTTTGCTGGAGTCTGACAGTCTCACAACTTCTTTGCTGGAGTCTGACAGCTTTGCTGGAGTCTGACAGCTTTGCTGGAGTCTGACAGCTTTGCTGGAGTCTGACAGCTTTGCTGGAGTCTGACAGCTTTGCTGGAGTCTGACAGCTTTGCTGGAGTCTGACAGCTTCTTTGCTGGAGTCTGACCGTCTCACAACTTCTTTGCTGGAGTCTGACAGCTTCTTTGCTGGAGTCTGACAGTCTGACAGCTTCTTTGCTGGAGTCTGACAGTCTGACAACTTCTTTGCTGACAAACTACTTACTTGTGAGCTTTTTTACATAAGCAGATATCTCACCATTACCGTACAAATGTTTAGAGTACTTCTATTAAATAAAATTATTGTAAATTCTCGTAAATGAGACAGAAATTTCGAATCAAAAACTCTAAAAGAATAAAAGTCTTTCCTTACTTTGTGTCCCTTCGACAGTCATGAGCTGCTGAGAAGCCGTTTGTTGATTGAAATTGAAGGGATTTCCTGTTGTTTGCATTGTTGTCATCATTAAATCAATCGGTTGATTTGGGTTTTGAGTTTGAGCAAAAGAAATATCGATTAATAGCAATAGAAAGCCAAAAATCTTGGGCATTTTGTCTTTTGAAGAATTGCCGAAATTCTTGTTGTATTTGGTTCTTTTAAAGGCCAAAAATTGTAGTCAGCTGGGGAAAAATGCAAAGAAAAACTCTCAAAAATAACGAAAAGCCAAAAATTATTCCAAATTGGACGGGTTTTCAGTGTCGTAAATTTGTGGAAATTTATGGAAATCCGATGTCAACAGAGCAGTTTTTTTTTGAGGTTTTCCCCTTTTGAAATGCGGTAATTTGTGCAAAGTTGCTTACCGAGTTCATTTTGATTTGGAAAAAGCAAATCAATCATAGATTAATGCTTAAATTTGGTGTTCAATCTTTCAAAATCAAAGCTTTAACAGTGATATCGCTTTAAAATCGACTCTTTCGTGGACTTTTGTTTTAAAAAAAGTCCGTTTCGTGGTCCTTTTGCAGTTTTTTGTTTTCTCTTTTACCAAAGTCTTTTGAAATTGTTTTGAAAACGTATTAAGTTCCACATGCATTAGTTTATTTGATTAGAATTTCAAGAACAATCGTAAAAACAACAATTTTAGCATCCCAGCAAAACGCAAAGCTTGGCACGTCTTGCGTTTCCTTGGACGATGACGCTGATGGACGCTAAAGCCGATAACGATGTCGTTCTACCTCTATGGGCTTGAGTTAAAGAGACACTAAGGAAGATAAAACATCGGGTCAATAAAAGATGCGACGCTTGTAACTCGATGGCTGGAAACATCTTACGGCAAACATCACTCACAAAGAGAAAGCCTCTCGTTTGTGCCGTAGCCACTTCCGGGAGCTGACGTTGGGCGACATCGCACAGAATCTCTCGTGGCCTCAACAGGATATCGTCAAGCTGGCAACGATGTCTGTCTTAGCTGTATGTAAAGGCCAGCTTCACAAACATTTACGTGTCCAAGGAAACGCAAGGAGTGCCAAGCCTTGCGTTTTGCTGGGATGCTAAAATTGTTGTTCATACGATTGTTCTTTAAATTCTGATCAAATAAACTAGTGCATGCGGAACTTAAAAAAAATACGCTAAAACAATTTAGAAAGGCTTTTTGGTGAAAAAAAAACGAATACCGTATTTTCTCTAATAGTAGTGCACCCTGAGCGTCGCCTAAATTGCTCGAAATCTCGAGAAGCGCTTATCGGAACCTATCGATGTGGGGTCGGAAAATGTAGCTGACGATGAGATCTTGTGGGCGATTTGAGTGTTGAGCTTCTGGGAAAGCTTGGAAACCGTAAAATAGCCATCAACTCGGCTCGGCCGAGTGCACTACTATTAGAGAAAATACGGGATTAGACTTTGGTAGTATTGTGTTCAATATTAATCTTTGATTTAAAGGTTTTCAGAACGAAGAATGGTATTAGAGATAAGTTTTGGGTTTTAGTCTTTGTTTAGATCTTCTGAATCTGATACTGGGAAGAAAGTGATAGGAAAATAGTTTACTAATCTCATTCTTAAAGAAAGCTTATCAAATACAGCATATCATAAAAGCTTAGCTTATCAAAAAGCTTATCAAAAAGCAAATGTAGTTAGTAAACTTTAGTTTAAAGATTAGCAAAGAGAATTCGTGAAAAGCACATGAGACGATGAGATCTAGCGGAGGATTTGAGTGTTGAGCTTCTGGGAAAGCTTGGAAACCGTAAAATAGTCATTAACTCGGCTCGGTGGGGTGCACTACTATTAGAGAAATTGCAAAATACCACGAAACGGCTAATTGCAAAATACCATGAAACTTTCAAAAGAAGACGATTCAGGGAAAAGAGGCTTAAAGCTTAATTCAAAATTCTTATTATATTTGGTTCTTTTGGAGGCTAAAAATTGTAGTCAGTTGGGAAAAATGCAAAGAAAAACTCTCAAAAAAAACGAAAAGGCTAAAAACATTGGGTAATCGAACTTGCTAACGCAAGAAGAGCTTGTGGTACTCGATTTACATTTTTTATTCCTTTTAATCATTGTTTTGAAGCTCTTTTAATCTTCTGAATCTTTTTTTTATGTAAAAATCATTGTAATTGCTTTTTGTAAGTACATTTTGAGGACAAAACTTTATTCCAGAACAAATCACCGAGATCACTAGAAGTACAAACAGAAGAAAACGGACAAAAAAACGAAACGATCTTCATTTTTCGGTCTTTCAAATGAAAAATCCTATATTCTACAATGAAAATAACCCAACAAAAGGAAAATTAAAAAGAATAAAAAAGAATTAAGAACCTAAAATTAGAGGAAATGAAAACTTTTCCTAAAAGCTCGTTTAGTTTATCCAAAATTGACTTTATCCCGTGAAATCTAGTTTAAATTTTAAATTAAATCATTTTCAAATATCATTTAATTGGTCTTCGTCTTTGTAGCATAATTTAAAAGGCCGGTGCCCTTGCCGAGCAAATGTGTCAGTTTTCGATTCAGTTGGTAGAATTGGAAGAGAAAATCGTGGGATTTCTGAAATGAACTGGTAATGTTACCATGAAAAGAGCAAGTTCTGATTCTAACAAGACTTATTACCTTTTGTATTACTTAATACCATTGATGTTTTAACCGCAAATTAAGGCCCGTAAGCCAGGCTCGGCCAGAAGCCAGGCTCGGCCAGAAGCCAGGCTCGGCCAGAAGCCAGGCTCGGCCAGAAGCCAGGCGGGGGATCTGGCCTCTGCCCTTGTCTGGCTTGGTTTGGCTCTGCGCTTTCCTAACCTGGCCCAAACTTGACCTTGGCTCTGCCTGAACCGAGCCTGGATATGCCTGGGCCTGACCCTGGTGCTTGTCTTACCCTGGCTTCCCTGACCCTGGTCCTTGCCTTACCCTGACTTGGCCTAACCCTGAGGAAACTCCTCTTGAAACAGTTCTGCTTTCTTTAATGCTTACAGTTCAAATGTTCGTTTTTGAAATCAACTTTCTCAACCTGATGTCTGTAGACTCCAAGCGGCTGTAGTTTTTTCTGCAGAGCTCGCGTCGCTTTCATCAAATTGTAGTGAGGAATTTGCGTGAAAAAGAGGTGATGAGCGACGTGTCCATCGGTGATGTGATGCATCAATTGATCGATGCCGAACCTGTACGTGAATTGGGGGTTGTGATCAAGAAAAAGATTTGAAGGTTTGAATGTTTGTGTAAAATGAAGTCTCTTACCCGTATGGTCGATCAATGGTCTGGAGTTGTCCCTTCACATAGCCCCAGGTGCCGTCCTCGAAGACCTGAAATTTGAATTGGATTTTCAATTGAATCTCCAATTTTTTACTGCTTATTGCATTCTTTTTGTATTTCTATTTTTCCTAGGCTTAGGAAAGCTCACTTATATGGAAAATGCAAGAGATAGAACTTTTCTGCATTGTTTTGTTTGTTTCTTGTTTCCAAATTCTTTTTTGCCTTTGCAAGTTTACAAAGCCAAAAAAAGGCAGATTGAGCAGTGTTAGCGTACTGATTTTTGGAGTAAAAATCTCCATGTTTACTAATCTAGCATGAGTTCCTTTCCTTTTTTTAGAAAAATGTCTTTCAAAAGAAGCTAAAGATAGTCAAAACTAGACTTCGGAAAACAAAACTTAACCAAAACCAAAACTACCAAAACCAAAACCATAACAAAACCAAAACCAAAACAAACCAAAACCAAAACCAAAACCAAAACTAACCAAAACTCGCCAATATCTCGCGACTGGGAGGAGCTAGCGAAAATCTGTTTGCAGATTTGAAATCAGCATCCAAAAATCTATCCCATAGGCTATTTTTTGTTTCGAAATTTCGAGGTCGTGTTTTGGTTTTTTTTCGGCCGCGAGATTTTGTGGAGTGAGAAAAAGTGAAAGGCTAATTTGCATTTTACATTAAAATTTGCATTTTACAATTTAAAATTTACATGTTAATTTATATGCAAATTGAGTTTTGGTTTGTTTTGGTTTTGGTGTTTTGGTTTTGGTTTTGGTTCTGGTCTGTTTTGGTTTTGGTTTTGTTTGCCGAAGTCTAGTCAAAACTACTTAAAATACAACTTTACTTCTTAAAACATAAAAATAAAGATGTAAAAAAAGACTTATCAAACTTGGAACAAACTTGAATAGCAAAAATGAGAGACAATGTGTCTACCAATCACTTTTTTTTTGTTCTACCAATCACCACCTTACCTTACAAACTCATAAGTCACCTCAAAATCAAATTTCAAATTCTTTTACAGAAAGGGCGCTTATTTAGGCTAAAACTAAAAACGTTATCGTGTTGCCCGACTTGCGTAAGTCATCTAGCTTTTTTTCGGATTCGCGCTTGCGAAATCTGATCGTTCTTTTGTTAGAAGTTATCTTTTCAATTTCGAAATCCCCACCTTGATATCTTCTGTTTGATGTTGAAGATAGGTGACCATGGTGAGCCAGAATCCTTGAGCGATAACAGGAAGCAAATAAAACTTTGTCCAAGTGTACAAATCGTAGTCAAGATACCAGAAAGCAGCCTGGAAACGGTTTAGTTTTTTAAAGTCGGTTATAATTACCGTAGCCCAAGTGAAACAGGCAAGCCTTTATCGGGCAGATCTAACGCTAAGCTATCAACGCCCTATTTGCCCAAGAAGAAATAGGAAAGGCAAGGAAGATGAGAGAAAGGAAGCAGAAAGAAAGGAAGAAGAGGGAAATGAAACGAAAACGGTTTAGTCTTTTAAAAGTCGGATATAATTACCGTAGCCCAAGTGAGACAGGCAAGCCCAGAAACAGCGCATTGAATACGCTCCTTTGTGTTGTCAAACATTCGCGAGAAAGGCCAAAAATGGGATCCATCGGTGACGCCGGCGATCGTGTAGACAAACCATCTTAAAGCATTTTTTGTTGACTTAGTTTTTAGTTCTTGCCTATTGCTTAAGTTATTCGGTTCAATTACCCAAGTCTAGTCTATTAATTTCACTTTTAATCTATTAGTTTTTTAGTCTATTAGTCTATTAACTTTTTAAAACTTGCCTAAAAATGATCACCACTTTCTGCGCTCACTTTTTTCTGAGTCAATTTAAACCCTCAATTTCCTTTAATTACCCAAGCTTACCTTGAATTCATTCCTACACAAAAATTGGTTTATAAAAATTTCCCCTAATGAAAAAATTCACTCTATCGAATTCGAATTACCTGATGAGAGCGGTGAACGGATTGTTGGCGTAGAATTTTTCCATGTCACCCCATCGCTCATGAGTTTCATTGGTGATCCAGGGATGACCGTGATCCTAAAGTTATTTTATATTGTAATTTGTTAAAATTGTCAACAAAAGAATGGCCAGTTAGGACTAAAGTTTGGATCAAAGTTTATCATTGATTTTTCATGGTTGCAGCTACTGATGGAATGCAGTTTTTGTAATAAAGTAAAGAAATGATTGGCAAAAGTTTTAGAGGGGAAATTGAACCCTCGACTTTCTGCTTGCCGGGCAGATGCTCTAACGCTGAATCATAAACATCCATACAGTCTACTTTTTATAAAAGAGCTTTGTCTGTCTGTCCGTCTGTCTGTCCGCCTGTCTGTCCGTCTGTCTGTCCGTCTGTCTGTCTGTCTGTTCATCTGTCTGTCTGGGTTTTTCGGCTGGTATTTAATATTGATTTAGAGTCGCGATAAGTTTAAGTATGTACCAGATTCAAATCAAGGTAAAAAAAGGAACTAATCTAGTCCAGATCGATGCAGATTTGTTCCAAAAGGAATTATTCCGCACCAGGTCAACGTTGAAATCAGGTTCTGGCTTTCTGGAGCTTACCTGATTGAATGATTCAAACTCAAAATTCCATACAAATAAATATCTCAAAAACTCGGTAGGAATGAAAATAACGAAGAGAACGTCTCCTACAATTCAATTCGCTTGACCATTGCTTTCATTCATTATTTGTATGGAATTTTGCGTTCCGATCATTTTTATTGTGTAATCATTTTGTATGTAATTATTTTAAAATGTAAATCGAGTGACATTAGCTCTTCTTGCGTTAACAAATTCGATTACCCAATGTTTTTAGCTTTTCATTATTTTTGAAAGTTTTTCTTTGCATTTGTGATAGATCTGTGTGTTGAATTTGCATTTCTATGTTATAATTTGTTAGATTTGTGTAGTAAAATGATAGTAAAAGGTTGATTTTGTGCTAATCTTTAAGATAAGACAAATTACAATAAATTGGAGTTGAAAAAGCAAAAAAATGAGACGGGGCGAGTTCGAATTCTAGACCCTCAACTTGCTGCACAACCACTCAACCACTTGGCCATCAATAAAGGGTTTGGGTTGAAAGAAAGATCGACTTAAAAGAAGAAAAAGCTTTCATGCCAGTTTGGCGGCGATTTGGCAGCTAATTTATACATCATTGGAATCAGCGTAAAATTCTGCGTCGAATGGTCTAGATATCATTGGACCCAATCATTGGAACCAATCATTGGACCAATCATTGAACCAATCATTGAACCAATCATTGGACTAATCATTGGATCCAATTGTACCAATCATTGGATCCAATTGTACCAATGATTGGATCCAATTGTACCAATCATTGGACCAATCATTAGACCAATCATTGGACCAATCATTTGACCAATCATTGGAACCAATCACTGAACCAATCATTGGATCCAATTGTCCCAAACATTGGACCCAATTGTACCAATGATTGGATCCAATTGTACCAATCATTGGACCCAATCATTGGACCAATCATTGGACCCAATTGTACCAATCATTGTACCAATCATTGGACCAATCATTGAACCCAATCATTGGACCAATCATTGAACCCAATCATTGGACCAATCATTGAACCAATCATTGAACCAATCATTGGACCCAATCATCCTTTCCTTGCAAGTAAGCCTTTAGTAAGTCGTACCTTTTCCAAATGTGAGGTGAATGTATGATGGAGTCGGTGACTCTTTTGCCAGGGCCAGTACGGAGCAAGAAGAGCGCCGTGCGTCAAATGACCAATGATGTCGTTGAACCACTGAAAGAGTTATCGATTTAACAAAAATCTTGAAGTGCTACCCGTTCAGTTTCTAGCTATAGAAACAAGGAAACTTTATATCTTTTATCTCACAAACCTTGTACTTGGAGAAAGTGCCGTGCCCGCAATCATGTCCAACAACGAACACCGCGAAGCCCATCATACCCATCAAGAAATACCTGAATTGGGAATAAGTTCAATCAATTTTATGATTGTTACCAAAAAATCATTCCAGGCAAGGAGAACATTTCAAAGAAAGGTTCTAATTTGTAGAGACCAGCGATCACAAGAACATCCCAACAGAGATAAGCGAGTGAGGTAGGAAGGGATTTCTCGAAGCATTCAGCTGGGATACATGCTCGAAGCTCGCCAACTGTTGGCAGGTTCTGGAAAATAGATAGATTTCTCTCTAGAAATTCATAAATCCACAGTTTTTCTCAATTTACCCTATCCAGTAAAGAGTTTTCCAGGGATTACTAAAGTTCGTGCTATCAACTGCTAAAGTTCGTGCTACTTTTGCTTACAAGTTGATATTTGGCCTTCATTTTGCCCTCAAAGTAAGTAATTTTTACTTACAATGATCGATTTTACGTATAAATCTTACTTTTTTACTCGTTTTTCATCAAATTTCAGTCAGTTTATGTTTATAAACTTCAAAATTGACGTTTTAAAATGCTATGAAGTACCAGAGAAATTTTCTGTAATTTGATCTAGCCGTTTTGTCTTTCAAATTGGTTCCACAAGCTCTGATATGTCAAAATTTCGATTCTACGCCCTAAAATTACGTAGAAAAACAACTTTTGGAATAGAAATTGGTTAATATTAGCTGGCTGATAAATCGTTGAACACTTTTTTTGTACTAGCTTTTACAAGTTCACCGATTGATTGCTATGATTGCTATGATTGCTATGATTGCTTCAATATGTTTATTGTTTATAATGTTTATCTTTTTCAGCTAATTTGAGTCGATTTCAAAGCAAAATGAAGTGCAAAAACTCCATAAAAAGCTATACAAAGAAATCGATTGAACAGATTATTCTAAAAATTTGCTTGTACGCCTTAGTTATTTAAGTTATTTAAGCTTTAAGTTATAGTTATTTAAGCTCTATCATTTTTCTATTAACAACATAGGTTTCTGTGGACAAAAGTGTCTAGATCGCGTCTTCAAGTTGTCTTTTTTGGCTACCCTCCTTCGCGATTCCATAAAAATCTAGAGACAAAACATTTTGATAAGATTTGAACGTTATTTTGTAGAAAAATAATAGGTCTTTCTAATGGAGTGAACCGTGGATCAATCGGTGAATTGCTTCTTTCTAAAAACCTTATAAATACTGTTGTTTATCGGGCATAAAATGGTAGTACTAGAGAGTACTAGAGATTGATATGAAAGGCTTTTGTGACCCAGTTACCCAAGTATCAAAGCTTTTGTTTTCAAACCTGCATAAGCGGATCCTCATCACGTGTCACCGTTTCTTCAGCTTTCCCTCAGTCGGTTGTTCAGTGAGATCTTCATGTGTAATCTCTTCAAATGACACTGACTAAATGCGTTTTTTTTAGTATTTCTAATCAAGATGGTTTGTTTCTTAAGTAAATTGTGGAAGAAGCTTAGGCTTTGCGCACAAGTATTCTGTGCCATGTACATTGACAAAATCCAAATCTTAATGAACACCAATCATCAAGTTTTGATTTAAAACTTAAGTAAATTGTGGAAGAAACTTTGCGCGGAAGTATTAAACTTTTAAAAGTATGCATTTATTTAATAACTGTGAAACAAAATGCACAAGTTAGCCCAAAGCCTTTACTGCCTTAATACCATAAAGATATTGCAGAGAAAAAACCCATAAATGGAAAGAAAACCAAATTTTCTAGCAGCTGGGATCGAAGCCGTGACCCGAACCCTCCCGACTAGAATACAATACTTCTAACCAATCACCCATGACCACAGAAATCTTACTTTTCGAAGTAACTTCTTCAAGACTTCAGGAGTGTCCTTGATTGGTGAGATGAGTGTCTCATCGATGTGTGGAGGCAGATCGGCGGCTGTGGGCGGCATCTCTGACTCCTGGGGACCCAAGTCTAAAAGTAGTTATAGGAATAGAACTTTTTAAGCTAATAAAAAGCAATACCTAAAATGTTTCGATACATGAAAAGAGAAGACAATTTTCAACTATAGACCTTGTTTTGTGCTGTGCTCGAAAGAGCCGCTCGTTTGAGCTACGATAAAATCTTGAGAAGTGTCAAAATGGATTTGTGTTTTGATTGAGGGAGTAGGGAATTGAGATCAGAATTTCGACGAAATGAAAAGATGAATAATGAGTTTAAAACAGCTGGGATCGGTTCAGCACATTCTTATCTCAGAGTCGATTATCTCAACGAACGATTTCAACCAAAAAAAAGTCGTATTTTTATCTACCCATTTAGGGTTGAAGTAAAGGCAGATACTGTAATTTTACAATTACATCTTTCCAATTAAAAATTAGAATTGATTAGAAAGAATTAGCGAATTGTAAACTCAATTATCGCAAATAAATCGTTGCTTTGCTTTGCTTATTGTTTCAAAAATCAAATATCGACAATCAAATATCCAAAAATCAAATATCGACCAAAAATGTAAAGGACTTTGACAAAGATTTAGGAGATCAGCAATTTACACAATAGAATTTAGAATAAGGCTTCATGGCTCTTATCCGGTATACTATTAGGGTGGTGCAAAAGAAACTGCCGATGGGTATCAGCTCTCATTTATCAGAAACGAGCCATGCTAACGGCATTATTGCTAACGGCAGAAACGAGTAGCATTACTGTTTAACTTCAAAATTGGAAAGTCTGCTGCTGAATCGCATCGTTCTCTTTGTGTTGCTTTCGGAGATGGCAGTTCGTCTCTCAGGCAGTGTCAGACTTGGTTTCAACAATTCCGAGAAGGAGACGAGGCTTTGAAAGATTACGAGCACAGTTCGAGGCCAGAAGTCGTGAATGAAGCCAAGCTGAGGGACGTTATTCAGATCGATCCATGCCAATCGGCTCGAAATCTTGCGAAAATATTCCATTGTGATCATGTCACCATCGAATCTTTTTTTTGAATTTACCGTCAAATAGGCAGCTTCTCTTGCACCACCCTAATAGTACCGCACCCCCATAATGGCGGTGCGGAGTGTTGCGTGGTCTAGCTTTGAACGAGTTTTTCTCGGCATTGGTTTATGCAACAACGTGCGCTTAGGTATCAAAAAATAGCCCTGAACAAACGAATTGTAAACTCAATTATGGCAAATCAATCGTTCCTATTGTTTATTGTTTCCAAAAATCAAATATCGACATAAAAATTTAAAGAACTTTGGACAAAGATTTACAAGTTCAACAATTTGCACAATAAAATTTAGAATAATGGTTCACAGCTCTTATCCGGTATACTAGAATCGTATCAATCCAAAAGCGAACAGAAAAAAAACAGAAAAACGAATCAATCAAAAAAAACGCTTTACTGAGTTTGGAAAAGTTGCTGGTAAACGCCTGACTTATTACCAAAGTGCCAAATTTTATTTAGGAAAATAAAGCCCTTAATCTTGGCATCATTTATCTACAAAGAACTTCCCGATTGGGATTATACAACTCATTTTACAAGCTCTTGAATAAGCTCAACGACTCTCTCCGGCGATCTCCCGTTTTTGACACACAATATTTTCATCTAGAAAGGGATTCCTTCAAGCAAACTTGTGGTATTTTACTTTAAAAGTACCATTCAGCAAAAATATAACGCTAAAGAAGAAGCAAGATCAGCACAGCAAGATCTTCATGTCAAATGGACATTCAAATAATCTCAAATTTTCCCATCAACCCAGAAATCAACCCCAATTTTGGCTATGAAAGTTTGATAAAAGAGTTTGCTCTTATTCTCATTGCTATCAAATGATATTAAATGTTATTTTCTCACAAAATCAGTATCAAAAAAACATTCTAACAATTTTTTTTATTAAGAAAAGTGTCAAAAACGGGAGATCGCCGGAGAGAGTCGTTGAGCTTATTCAAGAGCTTGTAAAATGAGTTGTATAATCCCAATCGGGAAGTTCTTTGTAGATAAATGATGCCAAGATTAAGGGCTTTATTTTCCTATATAAAATTTGGCACTTTGATAATAAGTCAGGCGTTTACCAGCAACTTTTCGAAAAAGGTTTCGACATAATTACGCTGTACAATCTGACATAACTGTTGAAGGGAATAACAGACAAGGAAAAGTTCTACAAAACCATAAATGACAGCTAAAGGGTTGGGTTTTGTGAATTGAGAATTCCTGTTCGAAATTTCGAACAGGAATCAGAAATTATACCAGATGACAGAAAGTGGTGAAAGGCGAAAATATTGGGTTGGTGAATTGAAAACTGTCGGCTATTGTCATAAGTGACAGTTTGAGCACTTTCTTCAAAAGAAACCCATTTTGGTGTCAATGGAGAAGTTGTAGAGAATCAAAAATCAAGCTTATATCCAAATTTTCAGAACGATTTAAAAACTGGTTTTCAAGAGATGCCAAATTTACGAATTTTCACAAAACTTGCAACAAAACTTGCATTTTAAGCGAAACTACTAAGTGTATCTTTTTGGAAATTTGGCTATAAGCCTAATTTTTGATTCTCTACAACTTTTCTATTGACACCAAAATGGGTTTCTTTTGAAAAAGTGCTCAAACTGGGACATCTCCAGTCCTCCATTTTTGAGTCTCACACTTGTCTCACACACAAACCAAAATCGTATTGTCTATTGTCATATGGCACAGTTTGGATATAGAGAGAGTGGTGTACTGGAAGTTGCTGGATAGCAAGACGACCCTTAATGCAATCAAATACAGTGAACAGTTGGGAAAGGTGAATGAATCCCTAAAGTAGAATAAGCCCTTCAAGTCAAAGATCGTTCTCCTCCCTCATATTGCAAAACTGACTCGCTCTAAAATAAACAGCCTTGGTTGGGAACTTTTGGCAAATCCCCCATACAGTCCGGACCTTGCCCCTTCTGATTACTATTTATTCCGGACCATGAGTAATGAGCTTGCGGGAGAACACTTCGATTCGGAAGAAGCAGTCAAAAATTGAATTTGGAAGTTTTTCGATTCAAAACCAAAATCCTACTACGAAAGAGGAATCCGCAAATTGCCTGTAAAATGGGCAGAAGTCGTCAATAGTAATGGAAATTAGTTGGAATGAATTGATGGTTTCATGTTGAATAAATTTTAGTTCAAAGTCCGGCAGTTTTCAATTCACCAACCCAATAAAATATCTCACAAAACGAGATACAAAACAGCTTTATAATCAGCTTATAATCAAGTTGAGAAGAAAAAAAGAAAAAATCGTTTAACTTTAAAAATGCTGAATAAGTCCAGTGAAATCAATGCTTTACTAATGTCTCCCTTGGGTGTCTTTTAAGAAAGAAAAGGCTCAATTTTTTGGGGGAAGTTGCATGTCCGGGAGGGGAATTTCTTTGCACAATCCCGCCCATCTTTCAGATATTTTTTTCGCTGTCCCTAGAGAGATTCTTTCCGGATTTTCACTAAGAAAAACTGAAAAAGAACAAAAGTGAGAGAATTCAAGGCTTTTATTGAATTAACCACGTTTGTTAGAGCCAAGTTATAACCAAGTTTGTTATAACAAAGTTTGTAAAAAGATTTCTCAAAGAAAATTAATGAGAAAGTTTTGTGAAAGAATTAGACAAGGGATCTAAGAGCTCAAAGCATACTTTAAAATTGATGAACTGTGGTTTAATGGCGGGGATTGACACAGACGGAGAGAGAAAGATAAGATGGGAAAACTGGGAAAATGGGAATCACATGAAAAATGCGTCTATCGGTCAAAATGATAGGTCAAAGAGCAAAATTGTCGATTTGCCGAAGTTTTGAATATTTCAAATTTTCTTAAATGATTAAAGATTTCTAGACTTTCTACTACCGTAAATACTGTAATAGTACCCCACCGCCCTCGTACAGTCGTGTAGTCGCAAAAGTCTTTTAGTGTTTCATTTTTTGCAAAGCGCCCGTACTTTCAAAAAATGCGTCTTTGGTATCAAAAAATAGCCCTGAATTTCAGCTATTTTTTGATATTCAAACGAACACTGTAGCATAAACCAGTGTCGAGAAAAACGCGTCCAAAGCTAGACTACGCAACGCTCCGCACCGTCACTATGGGGGTGGGGTACTATTACAGTATTTACGGTAAGTTAATCGTAACTATGACTGGGTAAATTGATAAATTGTGGTTTAATGGCGAGGATCGACACAGACTGAGAGACAAAGAATGGTAAGATCTAGATTGAAAATAAGATCAACTTGTCGAAAACTTGACTTTCACTTTATCTAATGAAAAGCCATACTAAAAGAGAATTTGTTGTCGATTTAAAGTTCATATAAAATGGTAAAGTCAATAATTAAGTTAAGGAATTGTAAACGATTACAAATTTGTTATTCT